AATCTACAAAACATTTTTAGATCAATTTTTTAATCTTCATATACAATAGTGCCATGAAAATGTGGTTTGAATGTTCTTGATGCAGTGTTAACTGGTAAGTCCATTTCCTCTCTTACTTTAGTGAATTTTAACAGAACTCAGATTCTGTGCTATTGGCATGTACTGAATGAATTAAAAAAATAGTTCAAGCTGCATAAATATGCATTATTTGAGAATTGTGAATCATAGTTATATATGTATGCAAGTCAAAGATCAACTTAATCAGCAATTGCTGCAAAAAACTTTTCGTAATGATTACCTTTAAAACACCTGCTGGTACTTGGTGTGGTTGAATAGGAAAATGTTATTAAATAAAACATTTGTATGAATTTTTGCCAATGTCCAACACATTTTACTGGATTATTGTAATTGAATAATGTTGCTAGCTTCTCCAAACTGTTAGAACATTTATTGTTAATGTTTACAAGCAAAAAAGTAAATCTGTTACAAACATTGTTTAGCTTTATAATTCAAATATAGTATTATCTTGTCCTTATACACTGGTATTCTCTGTTATAGAACATAAATTTATTCTGAAATTATTAATCATTTTCTGGTTTTCTTAATTCCATATCTTAAAATTACTGGTGATAGCTTTAAAATCCCAAACATGATGCCATCATAATTGGTATTGTCCACTTACTTTCTCCAAGATTTGCTCAGTGTTATAGTGATATACTGTTCAGGAGGCTGGAATCCAAAGAGGCTTTTAAGTTTGTGTATGAGTTTAGTGGTTTATTTTGTTTTTTAGCCATAGTTCTTTGCACTGCACCAGAGAGCATTCCCAAAGATCTCCCAAGAAAATGGGTAGCGCAGGGGACTGCAGTTGGAGGAGGTGAACTTTAAAAGCAATGGTGCCTGTGTATGTTTGTATGTATGGATGTGAAAAGAACCTGTGCAGCCTTTAGGATTCAGCCAGTGATATTAAATGTTGCACCAGAATAAATAACTAAGCAAATGTGGTATGTATTACATTTGTTCCTGTATCAGCCTTTTGCTTTTTTTAAAAAAAAAAGAACTTTTATTAAATAATATAGAGTAAATCATAGGAAAAATGCAATTCTTTGTTTTTGATATAGTGGTGGATATTTATGCATTTAGCAATATAGAAACACAGAACAAAAAGATTTATAGTCCCATTCAGTATTATGTAAACTTTTCAATAAAATATTTTTATGAGTATAGGTTTTGCAATTTTGTTTACAATCAGTTAAGTGTTTTAATGTACAAATTAATGATTAACTCTTTCACCTGTACTGTAGAATTAGAAATATAGTGGGAGGGAAGATGATTTATAACTTCTAAGGGTGTTTTTATATATGATTGTCCACTTAAATGAAGGACATTCACTGATCAGAATGTAAACCCAATCTAAAAAATATTTTAATTTAATAAGACAATTAGCAAATCAGAACTTATACATTATAATTGACAGCACAAAAGTCTATACATTTCTACTCAGAAATGTCTCATTGAGTTCATAGTTTATAGCACTACAGCATCCTTAATCCTTGCATTTTTACTCAGCAGCCCAAACATGAGTGGGGGAAGAAGGTTCATGACATGTGCACAATGATGTCATCATAATAATATCTTAAGCTGCTTATTTGTGTCACTTATCAGGTCACAAAGTACATCATGGTAACTTTTGTATGATGACATCACCAACCATATTATTTTGGTATCTTCATAATTTACTGCAAATGCTTCTGGGCCTGAGGCTGTTTCCCTACGGAATTAAGAGGCACTGTGCTATTTGGAATTTACTTCCAAATAAACATGCATAGAGTTGCATTGCACAAAGTAAACAGTAGTAAAAGCATTCTAATTCATTTTTCCAAATTTATTGTATTTTTCTGTTGCTTGGACTAGTTGCCAATATTAGCATTTTTGTACCCACAAACATCCTCATGAAAATGTCCTTCAGATGCAGAGTTACTAAAAATGAAGGTTCTCATAGTGATGGATTTTAAAATAATGAACTAGAAGAGAAAGTCTAGTCAATGTATATATTTGTGTTTTCTGTGTTAGATTAATCTTATGCACACTTACTTGGATAGATCTCACTGAATTCAATGAAACTTAACTCTGGGAAAATATACATAGAATCAGGCTGTTAATCTTATTTGTTTTGGTAAAAAGTCCAGTTGTGTATTGTTGAAGGGAACGCTTCACAAAGTAGCTAGGAATTAACTGTTTTTCACCTAAAATAAATATTTTAAGTGAACTATGAAAAATTAAATAGGATTTTGGTAATAATTCTAACCAAAAATATTAAATATGTATAATGACAGCCTTTCAGCTAGAATTGAATTTTGTAGCTCTGCTAATGGTGATGTTTGTTGGTCTCTTGCAGTATTGTATTTTTCTGTTTTTAACTCCAGTACTTCTACAGGCACAATAGTACTGTCTATTTTGTACCATGTTAGATGTGAAATACAGTCTGATGTGAAATGTAAAACTTGCATATGTCATTTCTTACTTTTGCTGTCTAACAAGTTAACGTTAACTCTGTTCCCTAAATGAATAAGAACTAAAAAGGCTGAAAATAGGATAATTATTTTATTGTATTTTTTATTTATCTCATTTTTGAACCACCCATCTCCCTCATAGACTACTTTTATGTTACAAAGTACTGCTTGGTCATTTATTGGCCTCTAAACAGAAATTAATGGGGAACAATGCAGTTAATTTCTCTGCAACCTTTAATATTTTTTTCCAATTTTTAAAATAAACTTCTAGAGGTAATTTCCCAATAAATAAACAATATAAAGGTGGTATCCACTTGGGGGGGGGCACTAAAATCTACAAGTGATATAACTACATAATTGGCATATCTGGTTATTCATTTTGTCACAAATATTTAGGAAGTTACAGTGGGGCAAAAAAGTATTTAGTCAGCCACCAATTGTGCAACTTCTCCCACTTAAAAAGATGAGAGAGGCCTGTAATTGTCATCATAGGTAGACCTCAACTATGAGAGACAAAATGAGAAAACAAATCCAGACAATCATATTGTCTGATTTGGAAATAATTTATTTGCAAATTATGGTGGAAAATAAGTATATGATCAATATCAAAAGTTCATCTCAATACTTTGTTATATAGCCTTTGTTGGCAATGACAGAGGTCAAACGTTTTCTGTAAGTCTTCACAAGGTTGGCGCACACTGTTGCTGGTATGTTGGCCCATTCCTCCATGCAGATCTCCTCTAGAGCAGTGATGTTTTGGGGCTGTCGCTGGGCAACATGGACTTTCAACTCCCTCCAAAGGTTTTCTATGGGGTTAGATCTGGAGACTGGCTAGGCCACTCCAGGACCTTGAAATGCTTCTTACGAAGCCACTCCTTCGTTGCCCGGGTGGTGTGTTTGGGATCATTGTCATGCTGAAAGACCGAGCCACGTTTCATCTTCAATGCCCTTGCTGATGGAAGGAGGTTTGCACTCAAAATCTCACGATACATGGCCCCATTCATTCTTTCCTGTACACGGATCAGTCGTCCTGGTCCCTTTGCAGAGAAACAGCCCCAAAGCATGATGTTGCCACCCCCATGCTTCACAGTAGGTATGGTGTTCTTTGGATGCAACTCAGCATTCTCTCTCCCCCAAACACGACGAGTTGTGTTTCTACCAAACAGTTCTACTTTGGTTTCATCTGACCATATGACATTTTCCCAATCCTCTTCTGGATCATCCAAATGCTCTGTAGCAAACTTCAGATGGGCCTGGACATGTACTGGCTTAAGCAGGGGGACACGTCTGGCACTGCAGGATCTGAGTCCCTGGCGGCGTAGTGTGTTACTGATGGTTGCCTTTGTTACATTGGTCCCAGCTCTCTGCAGGTCATTCACTAGGTCCCCCTGTGTGGTTCTGGGATTTTTGCTCACCGTTCTTTTGATCATGTTGACCCCACGGGGTGAGCTCTTGCGTGGAGCCTCAGATCGAGGGAGATTATCAATGGTCTTGTATGTCTTCCATTTTCTAATTATTGCTCCCACAGTTGATTTCTTCACACCAAGCTGCTTGCCTATTGCAGGTTCAGTCTTCCCAGCCTGGTGCAGGTCTACAATTTTGTTTCTGGTGTCCTTCGACAGCTCTTTGGTCTTCACCATAGTGGAGTTTGGAGTGTGACTGTTTAAGGTTGTGGACAGGTGTCTTTTATACTGATAACAAGTTCAAACAGGTGCCATTAATACAGGTAAATGAGTGGAGGACAGAGGAGCCTCTTAAAGAAGAAGTTACAAGTCTGTGAGAGCCAGAAATCTTGCTTGTTTGTAGGTGACCACATACATTTTCCACCATAATTTGCAAATACATTCTTTCCAAATCAGACAATGTGATTGTCTGGATTTGTTTTCTCATTTTGTCTCTCATAGTTGAGGTCTACCTATGATGACAATTACAGGCCTCTCTCATCTTTTTAAGTGGGAGAACTTGCACAATTGGTGGCTGACTAAATACTTTTTTGCCCCACTGTACTTTAAACACCCAATCAGTCCATATGATTCAGTCATCTTGACAGTGAGTGGCAGCAACTCTCAAGGGTTGCTGGCTCAGTTTGTGGATGGCAGGAACTGGATTCTTTCATGCAAAGTATGTGTTTCAAAACTTTTACATAATTTCTTTACAAGAATCCATCTTTAGAGTATTTTCTTTTGTAATATCCATCTTTATAAATGGATATAAATACATTTTATTTATAAATATCAGTAACATATTATTTAAGATGTATGACATCTGTATCAAATTAAGCTTGAAAATGATCATAAAACATCATTTCTTAGGAGTGCCTTTTCATTAAATCAGAATACAATCCTAAAAAATTCCATGGGCTATTCCAATGAGTTATTACTATATAGAAGCACTGGATTGCTTTGTTAATTACAGAAATGGATATACTATCTGATTTATTACAGATAGTATATTTGACTTAGGTCGAGAAAAGTAAATTAGAGAAATAAATTTCTCTTAACATATCTCAAATATCGCTATCAACAATTAAAAATTATGCAAACACTGTATAGAATAGTACCGTTTTTGCTGTTCTAAAACAGGGGTCCCCAACCCCTGGTCCGTGGACTAGTACCGGGCTGCAGCATGCCAGCAACCAGTCAGCACAAACAAGCAAAGCCCCATCCGTGGGATGAAGGCAGCACACAAAACCATGCATCCTCTGGTCCATGGAAAAACCTCCCTCCACGGAATTGGTCCCTGGTGCCAAAAAGGTTGGGGACCTCTGTTCTAAAAGTTAACAAGGGAGTGATCAACCTAATTTGGCGGGAGATACGGTGTAATGGAGAGCTGTCACAGCAAACACTATTTTCTGAGTTCCTATCCCATTGAATGAATTATGATCCAATACTGTGCCGTGTAAAAGTCTGTTGCTCTCCATGTAACCTAAGATACAAAATACATACAGAATATCATTTGAAAATGCAGGGGAGAAGAGACATTGTTTCCCTCCTGGTTGCAGAAAGAAAGCATTTCCATCACCGGAAAATTCCTGGATTTCCCTTGGGCTCTGGGAGGATAGGTAGGATATTAATCTCACAAACAAATACATTTCATTCTGTATCCCATGCATTCAGATTTCATGATCCAATTACAGCAGTTCTGAAAAAAAGCAACTTACAGCTGGTCCTCACACTTAGCAACTGTCCCACCCTTAGGAGGAAAATAATGGCAAATCACTTCCAAAATCTTTCCAAAAACACTGCAACGACTAGTTCAGGCTGTCACTAAAAGTCAACATTAACTCAAAAGGAACCAAAAATTAATGAATCATTTAAAATGATTATTTCAGGATCTAAATAATTTTATTATTAGAAATGAGTATATTTAAAATGGTTAACTGATATGGTAAGTACTGAGACTTATAAATGATCACTAATAATATCTGAAACATTTTGCTATATCAAAAAAAGTTGAATATAGCTGAGTCCATTTACTGTCAAGCTATGAACCTTATTGTCCTTATAACCACTGTAGTGCCGCTAGCTTGCCAACAAGTACGGGGGAGGAGGAAGGAAGAGTTTGGGATTCACAGATGCTCCCTATCAGCGTGAGAGCCGAAACAGTTGAGAGAATGTTTTGATGGAATAAAGTTTCTTCTCATAACAATTGCTGGAAGATTTATTGGACAATATGACCTGAACTGTTGGGGGGCAGATTTTACTCTTTTAATTATCTGTTTCCCACCATAGTTTCAGAGTTAGTTTTCATTCTATCTTGCCGGATTAATTATGCCTAATAAAGTTAACATTGGAGTTCATAATGTCTTTGGTGTTTTGCTTGGTTGGGTTTTTCAGCCAGAATATGACACTAAGCTAACTCACCAAAAATTCCTAAATTAATTAATTTAATTTAGGCCTCCAGAGGGGTGGTGAAACTCAGGGGAATATGCCTGAAATGAAGAGGCTGGCTGAAGCTGGGTTGGGATCAACCAGTAGGACTCCGGCTGGGGCCAAAAGCAGTTTCATAACCACACCGGCCTCAACAAGCCTAAGAAGTGAGTTGAACATAAGGAGACGACCCCGACCCTGGAATGGATGGGTGAAACAGTCGTGTTCAACCGGCCTGAGTTGGAAAAGTAGCAAGAAGAGTTACGGAGAGCTGCTGAAGCCGAATTCTTGTACTGCCCTCAGCCAGAAAGCTGGAGTGGTGGGAGCAAGGAACCTCAGAGTGGACAGCCCCCAAGGAGTGCTACTGGCCAAGGTACAGCAGCCAGTCAGTGGAGCAACTGAGGCAGAAGTTTAGCAGCCTAGAGGTTCATGGAGGAGAGCCAGTCCCACGGCTGGATCCTAGACCCCGAAGGGGTTTCGGGCCTGTTTCTGGCATCAGCACCAACCCTTTCACCCCAGCACTCAGCAGGAGCAGCAGCTGCGGTAGCTGGGAGATCTGTTAGACCACAGCCAGGGCCATTTCCCCAGTCCGTTCTCCAGGACTGGAGATGTAGAATCCACCAATGGGTTTAGACTGTATTCCTGCCCAATCAGATCAAGTCAGCCAAAGTTGCCACACCCGTCCTGGACCATAGAGATCCCAGTCTTGACTTGATCTTGCCCAGGACAGACGTGTGCAGGTTGGCTCTAGGCAGCTACAGTCTGCATTGGTGGATTTTCTTTTCCAGTAGCTGTGCAGGGTTGTAGTTAGCTAATTTGAATTTATTCCCATTTAAAATTTGATTGCCCTTACCAAATTCTCCACTCCTTCCCATTCAGGAACTTGGAGTTTGCTCTTAATTTCTTCTGATTGGGAGCTATACATCTAGCTCTTATTAAGGAAGGGGCTCCTTCCTCCCTTCCTTCCCCCCCCCCATCCAAATTTTCTCTACTCACTGGAGTGATTGGGACTAACGGCTGTTAGCCCTAGCCAGCTGAGGAGATTACTTGAATTCCAACGGAGCTTGCGGCTGCGGCTCCAGTGGCCATTTTCACAGAGCAGACTGCCAGGCCGAAAATAC